AGCTCACCGCTTCATTGGGGAGCAGATGTTTTGACTATTGTAAATGCACAAAGTCGGATAATGAGACAGGCAATAAATGATTTCTGGGTGCATGTGTGCATCCCATTTTGTCTGTTCTTGGCTATTGTGAAAAGTACTGCAGTGAAGGGGGGGAGGGGGCGTGTACCAGAATTGTTTGAGTCAAATTGCTGGGTCAAATTGTAACTCTGTGCTTACCTTTTTCCACAGAGACTGCACTGCACATTACCCCCAGCACTACACCAGGCCAATACTTGATGTGTGCCCTTTGGAGAACTGCCATTCGAACGGGTGTGAAGTTGTGAAGTGATCATCTCATTTAGGTTGGAAAATACGTTTGTAACTTTGAAACACTCTCATCAAAACCACAACAGCACCTGCATTTGGTTGTGTCACAGATCCCATGGGGACACAGGTGGTCCATGCTGCCATCTCGGCCTCACAAAGGGGGTCTTCCCATTGCAGTTGAGAGATCTTCGCCTTTACTTTTGCAGCTCAAATTACCCTTTTCCTTCCTTTCTTTTCTTCCAAACAGTTTCTCTTTATGTTGTGCAAACAAAAGAGGTGGTGGACTGAGCTAGGATTTCCATGATGGAGCAGCCCTAGCCTCAGCCAGACCTTGTCAGATTGGACCCAAATCCTCAGATCCATGCACGTGCTATTTACTAGAGACATACCTCAGTCATATATCCGTGGGAAAAATCAGGGTACGAGAATGAGCAAAAGATTCATAGGAAAAAAACATAGGAACTATGTTCATTTCAGACAGAATAAACTTTGAGAGCAAACAAAACCATTTTAAGAATATTGTTAAAATTGCCTCACAATATGAACCAAAAGCTGACAGAACTCCAGAGGAAAACAGACAAACCCACCAGCTCAGAGGAGGGAGGAGGTCGGTCTCTACTCACCACACCCCTCGAATGTCTTTGGGTCGGGGAGACAATTCCATAAGATGCAGAAGATGGGGGCAGCCCTATGACGAAGGGCGACCCAAACGCTGACATGTGCTGTCTGCAGTCACTGTGGTACACAGACGTTCTTAGCTCTTAGTACTTAAAGCCATGGTCTAGGTGACTCTTACGCAATGAGTGCGCGGAACTTTGTAAGTAGGGTGGGATGGAACTGGGGATGGTTACAGCTATGTGCTCACTTGGCTAGGCCATGATGCCCCCCATCCTGTAATGTGTTGTAAACTCTGGTTCCATTTGGGAGTGAGCTGTCATTATGTCAATGAGGTAGAATCAAGGATGTGTCTTACTCACAGCCACCACCCTAATCAAGTCACACCCTTGCACCAGCAAGCTCAAGCAAGGGGAGTTTCCTTAAGGGTGTGGCCTCACACGGTACCCTTATAGATCAGAGGCCTTTGGCAATGTTTCTTTCTTGCCCTGAATCCTGCAACTAGCTGTCACCGTCTAACCTGGATTTTGAACTAGCAACCTATTATCTATACCTGACCCGATTCCCAGCCCTGTGAGCCAAGCAGCCTGCAGTCTGACCTGCTCATTTGGGTAGGGCAGCTCCCGCAACCATGTGAGTCAGGAGATGCCTCAGTCTGACTCCTGGCCATCTCCTTGACCATTTCTGAGTTCTGTGAGATGTTGCACTGAATTATGGGCCCCAAATATGGGAGGGAGAGGACAGAGGGGAGGAGGGGTTAATGATGTTGGAATGCAATGACGGAATGATTCAACAGCTTTAGAAGGTTGGACATATGGAACATCCTTAACTTCAGGCTTGTGCTTACCCTTACAAAATAAATTATTCATTTAGTCACCCATGGTGGAGCCTCCAGACCAAGACCAGGAAGAAACGCCTGGTGATCTACTTCCAAAAGTTGTGGTTGGTGCTGTTGACTTAGTTCCATTTATACTGAAACCTGTACCTCCTCACAATCATCCTTGCGTTGTAGCCTACTCCTATAGCCACTCTAAGAGTCCAGCTCATTGACGGTAGTCCTCTATCAAGCATGAGCTCCTTTTCCAAGGACTGGTTGCTCGTGATAGCATATCTAAAGTCCATGAGATGCAGTTTCCATATCTTTGTTTGTTCTTCTGGCAGTCCATGGGGCCTCAGTATTCTTAACCAACACCGGAATTCAAAGGTATGACTTCTTTCTTTATTTTCCTTATTCACTGTCCAGTTTTCACATGCATATGAGGTGATTGAAAACACCATGGCTTGCCTAGTTCAGGCACACCTTAGTCTTCCAAGTGACATCTTGGCTCTTGAGCACTTTAAAGAGGACTTTGTGCAGCAGATTCGCTTACTCCAACAGGTCCTTTGATTTCTTAATTGCTGCTTCTGTTAGTATTGATTGTGGATCCAAGCAAAATGAAATATTTGACAACTTCAATTTTGCCTCTGTTTACGGTGATGTTGGTTATTATTGGTCCAGCTGTAAGAACTTTTGTTTTCTTTACATTGAGGTGTAACCCACACTGAAGGCTTTCGATCTTTATCAGCAAGCATTTTAAGTCCTCTTCGCTTCCACCAAGCAAGGCTGTGTCTTCTGCGGGTTGCAGGTTGTCAAGGAGTCTTCCTCCAATCCTGATGTCATGCTCTTCTTCATACAATCCAGTTTCTCAGATTATTGGCTCAGCATACAGATTGAGTAAATACAGTGAAAAGATACAAGCCTGGCCCACACCTTTCCTGATTTTAAACCACAGAGCATCCCCTTCTTCTGTTTGAACTACTGACTCTTGGTCTACGTACAGGTTCCTCATGAGTGCAATTAAGTGTTCTGGAATTCCCGTTCTTCACAATGTTATCCATAGCTTGTTATGAGCCACACAGCCCAATGCCTTTGCATAGTCAATGAAACACA